CATGCAGGCTTCCTTGGTGGCTCTTCTGTGGTGTGGCGGCCTAGGGAGACGGGCCTGGCTCACTTTGGTTCAGCCACACTGGGTCCCTGGCTTGTGTTTTCACCAGCCTCAGGCCAAGGGCTGTCCGTGCACTCTTCCTGAGCAGGTGCCCCCAGGAAGCCCCGGGGCAACCTGCACCAGAATTTTAGGATAAGCCAAGCCATGTTTTCTCCAGGGAGAGTTGGCCTGGACCTGGGCTGGGGTCTTTTAATCGATCACCCCAGCCTGGCAGGCCTAGTGCGCATCTCTGGACCACACAGCTTGTCCAACGCCCTGTGTGCTGGGCTTCGAGAGGGGTCCTTCTAAAGATCTCACTCTTGCTCCGTCTCTCCTCTTGCTGTGGAGCTGATCTTCAGCTCACCTCTGAGCTGCTCCACACCAGAGTTGGGTTTTGCAAGGTATCTCACGTACTTAACTGGCTCTGTGGAAGCCGCACTATGGTGGAGAATTTGATACTGGGATTTAACAGACTTGATTGCATTAGCACTCAAATATTGAGACTTTTATACTTCATGGGATCTTAAAGAGCGTTTTTCCTGCATTAATCTTTGTACTACATGTCTATAGGATCGGGGATGAAACTGAACATGGGTCACTTAATTTGCGAGTGCATTGTAGAACTAGCAGGTTTGAAGTGACGTCGAGAGCTATGATGCAGAGTAGCTTGGGTAGACGGATGTGTGGACTTGATGCGACCTCCTGCTCATGACGGGACCCCATTCATCCCTGCACCAGGAGGCCTCACCATGCCTGCAGCGGAGGCCAGAGTTGGCTGAGTGTCTGGGTGGCCAAGCGGGAGTGCACCATCATCTTCCCAAAGTGACAGGAAAGCAGGGACAGTACCCTAGGAGGCGTGTAGTGCAGGCCAGGGATAAGCAGGCCCCAGGAGGCAGGGGTGGGAACTCTGGACTTTGGATCCCCACCCTGAGACAGTTCGGGCAAGCCAGGATGGTCAGAGACATTCTTCCTCGTCCTTGTCACTCATGTGCTTCTATGATGAGCTGCCTGCTCTGACTCATGCTCAGAACTTGCACAATGGCTACCTCACAGAGACCGGGACCCACCTAGGACCGAGTCCTTGAGAGGCCAAGGGGAGCTCCTTCCTGATCTTTCAAACAGTTCAGAATTCCTGTGGGTAAAGCCAAGGATAAAGGTCAGGTTGGGGTGTGGGAGCCCAGCCGGGTGCCTGAACCACTGCAGCAGTGTGGTTGATGGATAGATGTGTGCCCGTGCCATGTTTTGACCAGGATTGATGTATAGATGTGTGCCCATGACGTGTTTTGACCGTGGTTGTTGGATGGCTGTGTGCCCGTGCCATGTTTTGGACTCAGGGCATGTCACTCTCACTCCTATTTTTTTGTTCACACCTGGTAATCTGCCACTTGAACTGTTTCCAATTCTGGCTTCTTGCTGGAGGTAACTGGAGGTAAGAGTGTCTAAGATGTGTCTACTCAGCTGCCTCCAAACCTGGGACCACAGCAGCTGGAGTAGCTCAGATTCTCAGTGTGAGCCACAGATACCCAGCTCAACCAGGATCCTTTCTTTAGAGCAGAAGCCATGGACCGGCTCAAGTAAACAGATGCCCCCCCCTCCCTGTGTCTGGGCGGCCAGCGCATGAGCCACATGGTTGACTTTTATCTCCCCAAAGACACAGCTGTTTCCTGTTGTGCCCCCAGACTCCTGTCCTGGAGGGTAGCTGTGGCACTGTTGGAGCCAGGCCGTGGAAATCACCTACAGGAGGCATGCTGGTGCTTCAGAGGCTGGGGATCGGTCTCTGGGAGGTGTGTCTGTCCGTCGGCCCCTACCACTGTGCATTTAGAGAGGGCTGCTGAGTTCTATGCAGATGACACCACAGACATGACCTCCTTAAATGCTCTCCTCTCAGTTCCCAGTGATTAGCAGGTCGTGACACAGATTTGAAAATTGCCGGCCGCAGCAGCCTTCCCCTCCCCCCGTCTTCACTTGTTCTGTGAGTAGCTGCTGTCCTCCACCCAGCGCCCCCCCTCATTGACAGGGAGGGAGCTGATCTGGATCCTACCACACCCCACTAAGTCCTTTTGCTTCTGATCCTGGTGGAGTTAGAGGCTCTGGGTTCATTAACCTCTCTTCCCCGTTGTAAGAACCTCGGCTGCTGCCCAGAGGTCCTGCAGCATCCAGCACAGTTCAGAGTAAATGACCAAGTCACACTGGCCACTGACCCAGGGAGACCCCCGGGTGCCCCCAGCCCCACGGAGCCTTCACCTGAGGCACAAACTGCAGCTCCTCCTCTCCTGTCACACCAGAGACGTTGTGCCTGTGTCCTTCTCCAGGTGTCCCCCCTGGCTGGCAGCCTTGTGTGCCCCTGTGGATCACCTGAGGGTTCCACCAATGTGTTTATACCCCTGGGTCTTGTGGCAGCCCTCAGTGGCCAGAGGCGTTGCCCGGAGGCCTGGCTAGGAGGGCATGCCCAGCACACAGTGGACCAAGAGTCTGAGGGTACATCCCCAACCTCATCCAACTCCTGGCTGACCTGGGTCAGGAAGGTGCCAGGTCCTGTCTGTCTCTGCCGGGCTCCTGCTTGGTGCTCGAATCTCCTCGGTGGCTTTGGAAAGCATCGCCAGGTGTGTTGCCAGCCTCAGGCCTGGGCCCTGCTGGCCTTCTGGGATCCACCTTGTTTTCGTTCTAATCCCAGCACCCTGCCGACACTCACCACAGCTAAATGCCATCCACTGCTCGGGCCTGTCAGAGTTGATTTGAATCTTTACTCTGTCATCCATCATATCAGGACACCCGTCCAGATTTGTGTCACAGCCTCGTTGGACTAAATGGCCCATCTGTCTGTGCCCAGAGCTGGAGGTAGCCCTGCAAATGAGGACCCAGGCTGTGTCTCGCCCCCCCTGCCCTGCCGGCCCCCAGGGCCTTCTCCCCATCCGCCCAGGGAGTCCTGGGTGCTGGCTACTGAGCATGACCCGAGTTCCCATGCTCGGAGGCTGCCAGCCTGGGCTGTGCCCACCTGGAGCCCTGGCGCCCCTCCCCAGCACCTGTGGGGGGGCTGGCAGGTGTGTGGCACACTATGTTGGGGGGGGTGATGTCCTCATGTCAGGGGCTGCTTGGCATTCCAAAGACCTGTGTCCAGCCATCCATTGTGCCTAGCCCTGAGCAAAGCGTGCCCGAGACTGGAGCGGACCGGTGGCTATGTGCAGGCTGCCCGCAGTGCCCGCCCTGCCCCGGGGCCACCGGAGTCCCGAGACCCACAGGTCCCCTGAGGCTGAGTGTGGCAGCCTGGCTCCGCGGCCTGTCCGTGGTGGCCGTGGGGGCCTCTGCCGCGCCTTGAGTCCCAGTCAAGTGCACGATGGTAGCTTGTGGGAGAGCTGCAGGAGCAGGGCTGGGGGAGCTGCGCCCGCTGGTTGCCATCCTCAGCCCCCCGCCTCCTCCTTGGCCTGGCGCCCCTTCCTCGTGGTGCCTGGTGTAGCTCCAGGAGCTGCCTGGGAGCCAGCACTGGGAGGCTCCAGGAGCCGTCTTCTAACCACTGCTGGCATAGACCAAGGTCCAATCCCCGACCCGTCCTGCCCGTGCTTCCCACTGACCGTGGCGTGGCGGCTCTCTAGGTGGGCTGGGATCCCCATGTGCTGCCATCCCTGACTGGAGGGAGCCCCCCCGGTCCCCTGATAGCGTGGCCACGATCCTCAGCACCACGGCCTGAGGGCCGGCTCACAAAGCAGCATGGAGTGGGCACCCACCCTGTGCTGAGAAGAGCCTGGGGTGAGGGGGGCACGCTGGCAGGAGCGATCGAGAGGCCGGCATGGCCTCTGTCCACAGGGGGGCCAGGTTCCCGTTGTTACAGGAGGCTCTTGAGCGTGGCACTGTCTGTATGGTCAGCGGTACGCTCTCACGGTTACTGGTCTGGCCAGGCCACAGTTACCATTGGAGACAAGACTTAAAGAGGGTCACTCCTGGTTGGAATTCCCTCTCGGCTCACGTGCCCTCTCCTGCAAAGCCTGGGCCGGCTCCAGGTCTCCAATTCTCCCTGGATCAGGAGAGAAGTGGAGGACAGGGAAACAGAAGCCAGCAAAGCAGCGCGGGTCAGGGTTGAGGGCGAAACAAGCTCTTCTATGTGTGTGGGTCGGCCTGGGGTGTGTGTGTGTGTGTGCGCGTGCGCGCATGCACACGTTTGTGCATATATGCTGGCATGGCCAGGTGGGCTGTGTACATCCAGGTGTGTACATCCGTGTGTGTCTGTGTGTATGTGAGTGTATACACAGGCCTGAGTGCCCCTGTGCTCAGGTGTACCTGTGTGGCCTGCATGTCTGACAGGCCTTGGCCATGTGTGCCCCAGTGTGTCTGCATGCTTGTGTGTGTGCACATAGGTGTACACACAGTGGTGTGGATGGTACTTGTGTGGAACTGAGCTTCTACCAGCTGTGATGTCTGAACTGAGCCTCCACCAGCTGTGATGGGTGGACACCTGGGCCTGCTGCTGGTGCTGGTGCTGTGCCCCCGGGCAGCCTTCAGCACCCCTGGGAGGGTCTGGCCTGTGCATGGACTCCCAGTGCCGCCTTGTGTGGGGACGGAGACGGAGTCTCAGCTTGGCGGTGGAGCCCCGTGCTCTGTGCAGCCAGTTTTCTCCTGTGACGTGCAGGGGGCTGGGGGAGCGGGAGCCCCGTCCTCTGTGTCTCGCTCTTTCATTTCCGGTCGCAGCTGAGCTGGGCCACGTTTAATTTCCTGTCTGCGGAGGCAGAGCTGACTGGAAAGCATGGGGTGGAGAGAATGCAGGGCCCCACCTGACCCGGCGCTGGCTTTCAGAGTGCTCTCCCCGGCACCCGTGCATGGGTTTTAGACGTCTCCCTGGAGCTGGGTGTCCCTGCCTTTTGCGCCCCTCAGCCGATGGCACTGGGTGGGCCTCGGGCTGGGCTCTGGGCCGTGGGCAGGGTCCGCGGGGCTACGGCTTAGCCACTCAACTTGCCACCACTCCTGTCTTGTAGGTCAGCTGGCCGCCGGCACCTGTGAGATTGTGACCCTGGACCGGGACAGCAGCCAGCCACGGAGGACAATTGCTCGGCAGACAGCGCGCTGTGCATGCAGGAAGGGACAGATCGCAGGGACCACGAGAGCCAGGCCCGCCTGCGTGGACGGTAAGAGCCTGGCACAGAGCAGTCACCAAGGGTGGCATCCTAACAGCCATCCCAGAACGACCCCAGGCCCACACCCCACGTCACCCTCCCCACCTGGTCTTGTCCTCAGGCTGGCACATCAGTGAGATTATGCCATGGGCAGCATGGCTGGCACACACCAGGGCTCCTTGCTCCCTGCCACAGCTGGCACTGGTGAAGGGCAGCGGACGCCAGTGTGGTCTCCGGGGACTGTGGAGGGCAGCAGGTGCCAGTGTGGTCTCTGGGGACTGTGGAGGGCAGCAGGTGCCAGTGTGGTCTCTGGGGACTGTGGAGGGCAGCGGACACCACTGTGGTCTCCGAGGTGCCCTCTTGTCGACCTCATGGGGCCCCGGGTCCAGCCTGGGCCCTCACTTCCCCCACTGTCTACCCATGGGCTCCAGCTCCCCGGGCTCACACCCTGCGGCTTCAGCTGCCCATGGGCTCCAGCTCCCCGGGCTCACACCCTGCGGCTTCAGCTGCCCATGGGCTCCAGCTCCCCGGGTTCACACCCTGCGGCTTCAGCTGCCCAGCTGAGGCTGCACCCCTGCCCTTCTGCCTGGTCCGTCTGTGCTACAGGGCCCTAGGTGTGGGCAGCTGGGGAAGGAGGACTGATGGGTGCTAAGCAGAGGCCAAAGTGTCCTGTGTGTGCACAGGTGGGTGAGCATTGTGTGTGTGTGCGTGTACAGGTGGGTGAGGCATCGTGTGTGTGTGTGTACAGGTGGGTGAGGCCTTGTGTGTGTGTGTATAGGTGGGTGAGGCGTTGTGTGTGTGTGTACAGGTGGGTGAGGCGTGTGTGTGTGTGTGCACAGATGGGTGAGGCGTTGTGTGTATGTGTGTGTGTGTGTGCACAGGTGGGTGAGGCATTGTGTGTATATGTGTGTGTGTGCACAGGTGGGTGAGGCGTTGTGTGTGTGTACAGGTGGGTGAGGCATTGTGTGTGTGTGTGCACAGGTGGGTGAGGCATTGTGTGTGTGTATATGCACAGGTGTGTGAGGCATTGTGTGTGTGTGCACAGGTGGGTGAGCATTGTGTGTGTGTGTGTGTGTACAGGTGGGTGAGGCGTTGTATGTGTGTGTACAGGTGGGTGAGGCATCGTGTGTGTGTGTGTACAGGTGGGTGAGGCGTTGTGTGTGTGTATATGCACAGGTGTGTGAGGCATTGTGTGTGTGTGTGTGCACAGGTGGGTGAGGCATTGTGTGTATATGTGTGTGTGTGCACAGGTGGGTGAGGCGTTGTGTGTGTGTACAGGTGGGTGAGGCATTGTGTGTGTGTGTGCACAGGTGGGTGAGGCATTGTGTGTGTGTATATGCACAGGTGTGTGAGGCATTGTGTGTGTGTGCACAGGTGGGTGAGCATTGTGTGTGTGTGTGTGTGTACAGGTGGGTGAGGCGTTGTATGTGTGTGTACAGGTGGGTGAGGCATCGTGTGTGTGCGTGTACAGGTGGGTGAGGCATTGTGTGTGTGTGCGTGTACAGGTGGGTGAGGCATCGTGTGTGTGTGTGTACAGGTGGGTGAGGCGTTGTGTGTGTGTGTGTACAGGTGGGTGAGGCATTTTGTGTGTGTGTGTGTGTGTGTGTGTGTGTGTGCACAGGTGGGTGAGGTATTGTGTGTATATGTGTGTGTGCACAGGTGGGTGAGGCATCGTGTGTGTGTGTGTGTGTGTGTGTACAGGTGGGTGAGGCGTTGTGTGTGTGTGTACAGGTGGGTGAGGCGTTGTGTGTGTGTGTGTACAGGTGGGTGAGGCATTGTGTGTATATGTGTGTGTGTGCACAGGTGGGTGAGGCGTTGTGTGTGTGCACAGGTGGGTGAGGCGTTGTGTGTGTGTGTGTGTACAGGTGGGTGAGGCGTTGTGTGTGTGCACAGGTGGGTGAGGTGTTGTGTGCGTGTGCACACAGGTGTGTGAGGCGTGTGCGTGTGCACAGGTGGGTGAGGTGTTGTGTGTATGTGTGTGTGCACGTGTGTACAGGTGTGTGAGGCGTGTGTGTGTGCACAGGTGGGTGAGGTGTTGTGTGTATATGTGTGTGCATGTGCACAGGTGGGTGAGGCGTGTGCGCGTGCACAGGTGGGTGAGGCGTTGTGTGTATATGTGTGTGTGTGCGTGTGTACACAGGTGGGTGAGGCGTGTGTATATGTGTGTGTGCGTGTGTGCACAGGTGGGTGAGGTGTTGTGTGTATGTGTGTGTGCACAGGTGGGTGAGGCGTTGTGTGTATATGTGTGTGTGTGCGTGTGTGCACAGGTGGGTGAGGCGTGTGTATGTGTGTGTGTGCGTGTGTGCACAGGTGGGTGAGGTGTTGTGTGTATATGTGTGTGTGTGCACGCACAGGTGGGTGAGGCGTTGTGCGTGTGCACAGGTTCTTAAGTCCTGGGAACTGGATTCCGGGCATGCTGGGTGGAAGCACGGCACACCAGGTCCCGGCCCCATGCCCCGTCTTCCTGACGTTGATTCTTCCCAGGATGAGGGGCTCAGTGGCCGCAGCCCTGCCTTTCCCTTCTGCCCCTCTCCCTCCTCCGCTCCCTCCCTCCCCTCCTCTCCCCGTGGGAAGCTGGGTCTGGCCTGATAACGAATTGAATCTGGGATTGTGCATGGAGACTCTGTCCTGCCTGCCTCCCGGGAGCCTGCGGTGCCCCAGGAGCTGGGTCCCAGGGACAAATTAAAACCTCACAGTTTCCAAGAGAGGCCAAACAAATGAGTTAGCTCGCGGTTTCTGCACAGTAGGCATTTTCCAGGCGGCTCTCTAATTTAATTTTTGCTTTTCTATTTCCTTGCTCTGCCTGCATTATCCACTTCCCGGCGTGTGGGTCTGGACGGAGCGTGCTGACCGCAAGCAGGGCCCCGCCGAGCCGCTTCACGCTGACCCTCGCGTGCCCGAGATGCTAGGGCAGCGCTGCCCCTGGCATCGGTGCTCTCCTTAGTAGCCAACGTTTTGCTGCTCATAAATTTTTCTCCCATTCATTTGATGAAGGCATGTGCTGTGGTGCCAGGGGTCTGGGGGAGGGACTCTCAGAACACTTAATCCATCACATCCAGTGTGGAGGGGGGCTGCTTCTGCCTGCCTCCCACAGACAAGATGCCTCCTGAGGGAGACTTCCAGTGGGGTGTTGAGGGATGAAGAGGAGCTCCATCTTCCGGCACTGGCGGTAAAAGCGAAGCATCTGGGGCTAGTGTACTCAGCTCCTCTCTGAGTCAAAGCACGTTTGCATGAGCCTGTCCCAGGACAGTAGCAGAGCAGATCAGTGCACAGAGCCACAGGGAGAGACGGGACAGTGGACTGCATGGCCTCAACACCTCTCTGACCTTCACGGTGCTGCTTCAAGGTCACCTTGTGACATCACCCTGGCCACCTGGACAGAGCGGCACCGCCAGTTGTGTCTGCACGTGCTTTCTGTTCCCCTCTCTACCAGGCCGTCCCGACCCTGTACCACACCTCCGCGGGCCTGACCCTGCCTGTCACCGGGCAGAGCCACCCGCCTGCCACTCCCTCTTGTGGAAGAATGTCTCTGTGTCTAGCGGAGCGAGGAGAAGGTTCTTGCAGCAGCAGAGCATGGGGCTCGGCGAAGGGCAGGCAGGGGCCACCGTGCTAGTCCTGGGCAGCATGTCCTCTGGGAGCGTGCAGGCGGGAGCAGGCTGGTCTTGGGTAACTGGGCAGCTAGCCCCAGCAGTGGACACCATGGACTGCAGACAGGAGCTCCGGAAGCTGGCTGTCCTCCTGCCCGGCCAGCGGTGGTCTGCCCAGGAGGCTCCTGAAGAGCCCGCAGGCTGACACGATGGGCACGTGGTGGCCCTGGCCATGCAGGGCCGGCCCTGGCCATGCAGGGCCGGCCCAGGCTGGAATCCATGAAAGACATTCTCTCCAGCACAGCCCAGGAGGTGTGACCATCCCAGAGATGAGGTCCAGCTTGCTCTCCAGCCTGGGCCCCACGCAGTGGGTGTCTGTGGGTGGAGCCCATGTCTCCCCCACACCCAGGCAGCAGCCCCTCCTCCTCAGGTTCTCTGGGAGCAAAGTAAGATGCACAGAGGCCTCACGATACTCAACCCGGGCCATCATTCTTCCCAGGCACAGATCCTTGCCACACAGGAGCCACGCACACGGTGGATGAAGCATGGGGCTCTGCTGGGGAAGAAGGGACGGGAGGTGGGCATAGGTCCCTGCCTGAGGGCTGGCCATGGACAGTCAGCTGCTGGGATGCTGGCTGAGGGCTGAGGCATGGTCCCTGGCTCAGACGGAGAGTTGACCCAGAAGAGCCAGGAGGGAGGGGCCGGCACCGCAGAGTCATGGGGACGCGGAGCGCAGGAGGAGAGCCTTGACTCCCAGCGGCTGAATTCCCACCGGACCACCAGCGAACGCCGAGGGGGAGGAACAGCCTGTTCAGCAGATGGAGCAACTCCACGTCCACAGGAAGGGAATGAAGTCGGGTCGTCACCGCACATTATACTCGAAGTTAATTCAGAGTGGGTTAAAGACAAGGTGGTAACAATCCTGCGGACCCATAGAAGAAAGTGCAAATCTTTAGGGTCTTAGCCTTGGCAAAAGGTTCTTTTGACAGCAAAAGGCAGTAGCAAAGCAGTAAGGGGGGAAAAAGAAGCAGGTACAACTGATTGCATCAGAGCACAAGTTTGTGTGCATTCAATTACACCATCAATTTAAAAATTCCAGAGCGTGGGAGAAAGTCGTCTGGCTGTTCCTTAAATAACTTAGCATAAAGTTATTTTATGACCCAGAGCTCTAACACTGTGGACATCTAGGTACGCACCCAAGAGAAATAAAAATAGAGGTCCACACAAAAGCCCACACAGGAATGTTTACAGCTCCATGAATCGTAGTGGTTGAAAAGTACCGTAGCTCAAACGTCTGTCCTTGTGCCAGTGGATAAACCTCCTGGGCATCCACACCGCTGATGAATGTCACTGGGGTGTGCTACCTCACGGATGACCTTGAAAACCTATATAAACGAAAGGCCCGAGGCCTCAAAGGCACACATT